ATGGTATCATCTGCATATCTGAGGTTGTCGATGTTTCTCCCTGCAATCTTAATTCCGGCTTGTGATTCTTCCAGCCTGGCATTTCTCATGATGCGTTTGGGGCACCCAGCTACAAATTCAAGATTCCACTGTGGGCAAAAGCTGATATCTTCATATTTTAATTTTGATGTTAAAGTACAGTTTTGGCTTGTGTTCTCCCTTGCAAGAAGCACTTCCAGATAAAGCATGGGCTTCTCTGGCCAATAACTTAGGCCACTCCTTAATTTGCTTTAGGGGTCAGTGCTCTACTGCTTTGCCTCTTTTTTCAATTGTACTTTGCTTATATTAGAACAGGAAAGGGGTTAATAAAAATTAATATGGGGGAGAGAAAAAGACATCCATCAGCATAAACAAGAAATATGAACAACCAGCATAAGTCCTTGAACCCAGCCCCACAACCTTTTTAGGCTGATGGGCCCATTTGCAATGCTGAGGACAGGTCGTTGATCTTGGCAATGCCACCCATTAATTCCTTAAAAAAAAAAAGAAATTTGGGGTCCATTTGTGGACCACAGGGATCCTTGGAAATAAAGGGGATATTGGAGGTGGCAGATTGCGAGGCCATATGCCAGCTTTTCTATTAAAAAAATATTGAGAAAAATACATAAAAAGTCAAATGGGAGGGAGCTTGGAAGACATAAAGGTGTCCTTAAACTTTGGGTGCCCCATCCTTAAGCTCAGGGGAACTTTCACAGATAAAGAGCTTGGTGGGTCAAAAACAAGAAGTGGGGAAAATCTCTTATTCGCTTCCTGTGCTTTTCCCATTTGGTTTCTCCATTCCTTTGCAAATATGCTTCAGGGGTTATTTCTATATTCCCCACCATGACTCTGCCATCATCTTGCAGCCAATCTTCTGACAGCAGGTTATAGAACAAGAGGATTAGACAGGCAAAAGTTATTCAACTGCAACAGCTTTAAACAATGGCTGGGAGGGAACTTCCTTGCTAGCACACCTCCAACCTGCACCTCCTGAGTTTCAATCTGAGTGGAAGAGGGGAACTGAAGGTCAGGGTGAAATTTGACAGACCTGAAATAAAATAGTTTTCAGTTTTTGTAAAGACATCTAAAAGCAAGCAAGTTCTGAATGGCAGTGCACAAATACTTTATATTCAAGAGGGCAGAGGAGCCTTGGTTATCACCAGGGACACTGTAAAGCCTATTAATCTGTCCAACAGAGAACTAAAACTTTCAAGAACAAGAACACAGGGCCAATTCATGTGTTACTTGCTCCAAGCATCAGGCCTCCCTTAGTGGCAAGAAAATCCCAGACTAACTTGTGGAATTATCTAGACAGAGAACAGGAACGCAGAGAATGTAAACATGCTACTGTCTCCAACGGACAGGATGAGGACCAGCGAGAAAAAGCAGCAGAAGACTTCTCTTCATGGGGGCTGTGCAGTAAAAGGAGGTGAAGCCTTTGAAATACGATTGGATATAATTCCTTACCATTTCTCCCACCCACTCAGAGCCCATCAGCTGCCTGATATATCCTGTATACAATCATGAAATACTTTCTAAGCAGTAGTCCTATTCTCTGGAGGGACTCTGACATCAACTGCACTTTGTAAGATTTTGTGAATGAGAGCCAAGCTAAATATTTGATATTAGACCTGTGTGTTTAAGCATGGATTTGACTCAGTATATAAAACAGCGATAATAGTGCTCCTTTCTAAGGGCTAAAGGGACATGCATGTGAAACAAATTGAAGCTTTCTTTCTCCCTAGACTGGCACCTCACCTCTGTGTAGGCTACCCCACCCAGCACTATCCCCTCGCCAGTAAGTTCACCATAGGAACTGCATTCCCTTAAATAAAATTTATACTTCAGAGAAAGCAGAAGAAATTGTCTAGTGCATTATAAAATTGGAAGGGAAGAGGAGGCATAGACAGAAAAAAAAATACTGGACATTCCTATATTTATATTTCCAAGTTGGTTTAGCAAAAACAGTAAAAGATATATAGCAGAGGTTACAAATGGCATCCATTGAGCCAAATTTGGTTTCTGGAATCCCGAAGTGACGAGACTAAGAATGAAAGAGGTAGATGGTGAGACAAATATAGAGTAATGGGGGTCCTTGAAACACTGCATTAGGAACTGCTTTCTTAAAACAGTCTTCCACAAAGATCAGCTGCTGACAAAAAATGCACCTCTGGGTTGAATATTAGAAGAACGTTCTTCCTTACCCCCAATTCTTGCATTGTATGCAATTCCCACAATGCAGTTGGAGTTGTTTGCTGATGCGGCCACTTCTCCAGCACAGCGGGTGCCATGCCTAGGAAGAGAATTCACACAAAGGTTTTAGAATTCAGTAGAAACCTTACAAGAATTGGAGCGGATACCAGAGAGAAACCAATGCAGAATTCAGCCAGAGAGACCTGGCTTAAGGCCTGGATCTCACTAAGGCAATAAACTAGGACTGTTTTCTGGTTTGATAGCCATTCCTCCTTATAAGACAACTCTTAGAAGTTATCATCATAGTAGTTTTTCTCCTCTTAGTTCCTCCCTGCAAGCTTTATTTGGGATGGTGGAACGCAGAAGGCGTAGCCTGTTGTTCAGACAGAGGCACTTCATCTCTGTAGCACTGGGGCCATGCTCTTTCAAGGCATGCTAAAGACAGGTCCTAGGGCTAAAAGCGCATCTCCCGTTCTTAAAAAGAAGCCTGGAATCATCTTTCTGGGCCTCATCATTCACTTTGCAATGCCAGGTATTAATAACGCATCTGACACACATCTAGTTCCAGACTGTAACACTCCACCCACTGAAACGCTCCTAAATATGTAATGCAAAGTTCAATTCCATGCATATAGACATTCCAAGACAACACCAAAGCTAGCCTAGGCCTTTCAATATTTCCCTTTTTAAGTGCAGGGAATTATGTATTTACTTCTGTGTTCCGTACGTGCAGGGAAAATCCATCCTATGATCCTGACTTTTCAAGTAATCCAGTCAAGGCAGAGAGTTAGGGGTCCAGGGAAACTAGTTTTCAATTGCCATGTTTGTCAAATCCCCTTGCCGCGGTTTGCCAGCTTCACTCAATTGGTTTGGTTCATATAACACTAAGTATGCACGCTGGGGCTCTCACGGTTTGCTATGCTAAAACGTTTAGCTAGCTTATGGTTCTGGGTGCTGTGTAAACCCAGCCATTCTGGATGGTGACTCAGAGCTGTTTTTCATTACTGCAGCATGTATTATAAATAATGCTAGAGTTAAGGTACATTTCTGATGGGCAAAGGCATTCTATGCAAATCAAGGACAAGCGCGTCCAGGGAATTACTGCGTTACGTTTCTGCCTTCTGGTTCTGATTAAAGTGGAATGCCTCTACAGCAGCCTGTGCTCTGAAAAGTTTCAAAAGTGCCTAAAAGTTTTTGATAATTAATCCCCTCAATTAATGAAGTGCTCAGAGGATTACTATCATTAAAGGAAAAGCTGATATTAGAAATAGAGCTTACATACCAAGATAAAGTCCTGCAAGTCTGGAGAATACATTTGCATGGCAGCCAAACAGCTGCAGAATTCAGCACAAATAACCCCCCCCCAAAAAAAGAACTAGGCCTAGGGAATTGCCGCTCTACACTTTATTAAGCAACTGTAACATCTTATTTCTGATAGCATGTCAAACTATGGTTAATGAAGCTTAACTATGGTTTGGCTGGATGCCCTGACAGAAAACTATCGTTCCAATGGCTGATCCACCTCCAGAATTGCTCTTAAGAAATAGAAATGCTAAGCAGAGAGAGAAGGATTGAATGCAGACATTCAGGAGCAGCTGAGGGCCCACCAGAATTTTTAATATTTTAAACATTTAAAAAAAAAATTGTGAGCTAGCATGTTGCAAAATAAATAACATTTTAAATGATCCTTGTAAACTTTCTTTATAAAGGTGATGGGTTGATTACAACCAGAGGTTTACCTTGGAACTATGTCCCCTTCTCTGGAAAAGGACAAAACACAAGAGTAGGAGGAAGCATCTTGCAGGAGAGGAGCAGATACTCAACTGCTAAATAGGTATTCTGTAGCTGGCTATGGCCCATAGAGCAGCTATTTTATATATGGGCAAGCCCTTCCCCAAAACCCATTTTGCATTAGCACCCACAACTCATACTGAGCATTCTAAATGTGCCCACTGATGCCAAAAGTTCTACACCTGTGTGTGCATTCCTGCTTGAAAGGAAGCTTGCACATCTGCCTTACCAGAAAGTTTGGGACTCTTTAGGTACCCTTGCTTTACTAGCTCTTCAGGTTCCCTGCTTTGATCTGAGTTCTTGCATGGTCTTAAGTCCTGTACGCCACTCCCACCATTGGGGGAAAAAACAAACTTTTTAAATATTTCAAAGCAAAGTTTCATTGCTGTAATGACATCATGCTGTTCCTAAAATCCTATGGCCCTTTCCTAGTTATGCCTGGATCTTCTGCAAGCATCTCCTTAACTTCAAAGCCTTGTTAGCCATATTACCCTTGCCCTCTTCCCCTACTCATCTATCTTGATGCACCTTTCCCTAAGACCTTCCTTCACCCAACCCCTCCTTTGCCTTTGGGTTTATGCTTTGAAATTCCCACTCAAAACATCCAGGAGATGCCATCTCTCAGTGTAAATCCCTCTTCCAAACTTAGCATTTCTGTGATACCTTCAGAAAAATTCCAGAAATCCTAAAGCCCATGAACGTTCAAGTAAACATGCATAACCTGAATGATGTTGGCTTCATTTGCTTGGCATGCTTACCCAGAATTAAACTAACCATATGATACACAATTCCCTCAATTTTCTGGGTCTGCACTGAACTCTAACCAACCATGTGGGCTGAGTTTGTAATAACACAGAAGGCTAAAATTTGACTTGTTTGTGATGCAGTGTTTTATAGATAGTCCTTGATTAGCAACCACAATTGGGACTGGTTGCTTGGTCATTAAGCAAAGTGGTCACTAACTGAAACCGTGACTGTGCTTATGATCTTACTTTAGCTTTCCTTTACTTTACAGACCTGCAAAGGTCATAAATGCGAGGACTAGTTGTAAAGTTACTTTTCATCAACATCGTAACTGTGAATGGTTGCTAAATGAGGACTACCTGTATGCCCCTTTGCCTCTGTTCCTTCCACTGTCTTTTTTCTTGTGCTTACTTTCAGACTGCAAGCCCCTTAAGGGCTAAACTGTGTTCTTTCTTCTTTGCAAAGCACTGAGCCCATAGACAGCATAACCAGCATGATCAATGCTAGATCATATCTGAACTGGTTCCCTAACACACTGTAGGGCCACCACATTTTTCTGGTAACAGAGTAACAGAACTTTAGTGCAACTGTTGAACACACAAAAGCTGTAATAAGTGAGAGAAGAACAAAGAAATACCTTGCTCAATTCACAGCTGTTAAAAGCTAATGAGCCTCGCTAGAAAAAGTAGTGGAAACCTGAAACTGGTTGATTTCCCTCCTCTCCATCCCCCCCGCCCCGCGCCCCAGGCCCTTGTAAAAATCCCAAATTAGCTAAAACTTTCAGCTCAGCAAACAGCACTGGGCCACATGGCTGTGATGTGCAAAACAGATGTAAGATTATCTGCTTTGCATTCTCCCAACCGCCCATCCCTTAGCCAAATTTGGAATTTTCCTTTTAAACATAAAACTCTCCTTTGAATGAGGCTTTTGAGTACAGGTTATTTCTGCAGAAAGCATAGTAGGGACATAGTAGCCAGCTGTATTTCAGGGAGATACGGCAAATGATTCACTAGCAAACGGCAAAAACAGGGGTAAAACAGTAAAATGCAGCACAATTCCATTCTTAACGGGAAGTGGTAGGGGAGGGGAGAAAACTGAACACACTTATTTTCATTGCTTGGATCATAGCGCGGAGTTGGATCTTCATCGTTTCCATTGACATCATAGCTTGCACGAGGGTCCTAAGGGAAAAAAAATAACAACTGAAAAACAAATAATCAGAAACAAGATGTGCAAAACCTCAGGACTGAAAAATTTCATTCCATGTATAACCTTGCTGTTCCTCCAAAGATCTCAGAAGATTTATCTGGGATTCTCATCTCTGCACTGAGGCCTGTTCAGACCATCAGGTGGCTCTGAGCAATTCATTGCTGGTTTACAGTGCAAGCCTACACTGGATTTCTTAAAAGTAAGTTTCACTGTGTTCAACAGGACTCATTCTCGAGCAAGCAAGCCTTGGCTTGCTTATTTACTTGTTCAAAGCATGTTGTAAAAAGAAAACCAATCCCTTTAGCTGAAAGAGGCTCTCAGAGAGGTTCACTGCTGTCAGATCTCCAAGCTAAAAGAACAACACAGGAGGCAGGTAGTGTTGGGATCAAAAGCAGATTAAGGCACTTTGGGGCTAGTGTGGACACCCTCTCTAGGCCTGTCATCAGCTCCCTAAAAGAATGGTGCCTTGCAGCTGTACAAGCTCAGGAAAATACTTGTTTAAGAGCCATGACAGAGGTAACAAGAGGACGTGTCTTGTATTGCTATCCTGTTGCCATCTCCTTAACTCAGAAAGAGTACAGAGAGGGGATCCGCATCAGATCCGAAGCACTTTTGCCTGCTCTGAATCCAAAGATGGCATCCCTCTACACCAGGGTTCCTCAACCTTGGCAACTTGAAGGCTGGCTGGGGGATTCTGGGAGTTGAAGCCCACACGTCTTCAAGTTGCCAAGGCTGAGGAACCCTGCTCTACACAACATCCAAGAAAAAAAGATGGAGAAGGAAAGGGGGCAAAACTCCAAATTCAGATACCTCTTAAAGCAACTCTTCTCCCACCCCTCTGGGATGGGAACAGGTACAGACACCCCAAGGGAACAAGTTGCTGGCTAAGTGGCAAAAGGTACGTATGGACACTTTGCAGGGTCCAGGGTGAGACCCGACTCCATTTCTCCTTCTGTTATGCAGACTACTGGAATAACTGCCTCTATTTTTCTGCTGAGATACTGCAAAGGCAGCTGAAGTCATAGCAAAGAGTTCAGACTTCCCTGCTTCTTTTTCTTATGTTGTACAAGTAGACTATGGCCAGAAGACAAGTGCCAAAGAGCTCCCGCCTCTACTTACATAGTTTTGTACAAGATCAGGATGGTTCTTCTCTATGCCATCATCAAGGATAGTTACTACAACACCCTTGCCAGTGTATCCCCTCTGCCAGGCTCCCAGAATGTTCATTTCGGACCTGCATTCACTGTTGTTGTCTTCACAGTGCTGAGAACAAAGACAGTAATGAGTGAGCCATTGCTTTCCTTTCCATTCTGCCACACCCAAGTCAGCAAGATGTGCTTCCAGTAGCTACTCTGAGTTTGCAGATGCTAGGACCAGCCCTGCATTAGGTAGAGGAAGCCACTGCCCCAGGCAGTAGAAGCAATTCTGCCCACTCAGCTGTTCCTCTCAAGCCCTCTGCCCTTCCCATTTCTTGGAGAGATTTGTGGGTGCCACACCCACCCTAAATTAGGTTGTTGCACTCGGCCTGTGATAAAAAACTATGTAGGTAGTCCTTGCTTAACAACCATTCATTTAGCGACCATCTGAAGTTATGACAATGCTGAAAAAAGTTACTTATGACCAGTCCTCACCCTTATAACCATTACAGCATCCCCATGGTCATGTGATCACAATCTGAGTGCTTGGCAACCAGCTTGCACTTATGATGGTTGCAGCATCCTGGTGGCATGTGATTGCCATTTGCAACCTTCCCAGCCAGCTTCCAGCAAGCAAAATCAGTGGGGAGCCGCATGATTTGCTTAATAACCGCATGATTTGCTTAACGACTGCCACAAAAAAAATAATAAAATCGGGTGCGGTCATATGATGACTCACTTAACAACCAATTTTCTGGTCCCTATTGTGGGGATTAAGTGAGGATTACCTATATCCCATTGGGGATGGGGAAATAACAGCCAACCTGGTTGGCTTCTATATGTAGAATGGAGATACCAGAAGTTCAGTAGAAGTTAAACTTTCCTAATTGATCCTTTGGTGTGTTATAGGAACACCCGCTTTGTAAATATTAAATAGCCATTCTCTTGTTTATTAAAGAATTACTGCATTACTTCAGATATTGGCCAGGTTCAGACAGTGGTTGTTGAATGAGCCACAGTGTGTTCAGTTTCCAAGATCTAGCTTTCTCACTTCAGACCCAAATCCTTTTTGTGGATTTAAGTTGATGAGGTAACTGCAACCTGAACTAGACAGAAAAAGCTTGGCCACAACTATCTTCCTTTTCTGGCAACTGGCTGGCCCAACTACTGTAATGCATTAGATGTGAAACTTCCCTTGAAGACTCTCCAGGAGTTGCAGTCTGCTCAAAACTACAGCAGCTCAGCTTTAGTTACTAACCAAGCAAATCACTGAGAACACATTTTTCTGTTATTTAAAGAATTTCAGGAACACTCCGACCATTTCTAAATGGTTTTCACCAGCAAAGTCCTGCACAGCTTGGGGCTCAAGAAATTGAATGAATGTCTGCTTTTGTATCAGTCTGCCTGTGTGTTGCATAATTTTCAGAGCCTCCCTCCAGGTTCTCTTGCTATTTAAGGGTGGGTAGAAACCAGAGAGAAGGAAACCCTCTGGGACTTATGGACAATGAATTAGAAAAGATTCATGGTAGACTGATACTATATATGGTACTTAATACAAAAGGTGGCCACTATATACCTGCAGCTCTCAAATTATTTGAAGCCAAGCCAATAGCACAACTTCTTTATGGTGCCCAGCTGGGCCCTTCTCCAATTTTGCACCATTAGAACTTGTACAATCCAAATTTCTACAATCGGCCCTTCAAGTCCCAAAACGTGTTTCTAATGCCACCCTGAGACTAGAGACAGGCCTCGTGAAAGTGGAGGCTAGAGTATGGGTGACCATACTCAACTATTGGCTCAGACAGTCCTTTTTTCCCCCTGGCCTTGCCCCATTAACTATGAGAGATGACTTTCCATATGGAAGCAGGCAGTGGCAACTAAAATCTCATCCTAGGGCTTCTCTCCAGGTCTTCTACTCAGCATGGGATATGATCGGGCCAAATCACTCATTAAACAGCATGTAGTAGACACAGAGTGCCAATTGGATCTAGCCAGGACCCCAACCTTTATTGCCAGTGAATCCAACAGGTACTCTGCCTCTCCTATGGCATACTTAACTAAACTCAAAGTACCTAAACATCAGAGGGCCTTTACTCCAGCATGATGTCATACCCTCCCCTCAGCTGCCCTTGAAGACCGATACAGGAAGATTCCTCACCCAGAGAGACAATGACCCTGTGACTCTGGACACGCAGAAACAACAGAGCATGTGCCCTGTGGCATGATTCTTCTAGCATCCCACAAAGCTATTATGATTCACCTGAGAGCTGAAATCACTGTGGGAAAACTTGCAGTTCATCATACAAAAGAGGGATTTAAGCCTCTCTTACCCAGCAATTAATGTTATTGCACATCTGCATTTACTTGAGCACACACACCATGATTAGTATTATTATTCTGTTGTCAATGACCAGCAAAGTAGCTGCAACACTAAAATAACCCATTAAAGCAGGCTCAAATACAATAAGAGCAATAAAAGCGCCATCAAGACTTGCCAATTGAAATTTATGCATGAGAAGCAAACAAAGGAGAACAACATAAAACAAAGCAAAACAAAACAGAGAAAAGGACAATGCAATTTAGTTAAAAGAATAAAGACTTCCTTATGACATCGTTCCAAGATTAGGGCGCCTTAAGCTTCCCTATGGCAATTACTGCCATTCACACACACAAGTGTATAGTTACCATGTACCACATTTCAGGCCAGAACGGGTCATTGAACGAAACGAAACGGTGGTTGCTTCGAACTCGCCTTTTGACTCTTCGTTTAACTTCTTGCTGCTGCATCCATTTTACCTAAAAAATGATCAAAAAAGCTGCATCAGTCCCATTTGCTTTCGCTTTTAAACAGCTGCTTCCTCAGAACAGGATATTTGACATCTCATGTTTGGCTTTTGGCTCATCAGATACCTCCTCAGTGGCTCTCCCCTAAGATAATTAAATAACAACAGAGGCCCAGCCTTAAAAGATCAAAGTGAATCTCATTAATCAGGAAAAGCAATTTCCCAAATCATCAGCAGTAGCTAGATCTTAAAAAGGAGAAAGAGGAAAAGAATTGGTGGGATTCTTGAGATAAGGATCCAAGAAACAAGGGGCCACCAGACAAGGTTCTTGTCCTCATAACTCTCTTCCTCGCATGGTTCCTTTTCTGCAGTTCACAGCTCTGCTTTAGAAATACTCTATGGGAGTCCCTCCTAGGTAGTAGGTAGGGGGTTACAACCAAGATGTTTAAGAGGACGGGGTAGCATTTCAGATTCAGAGGGGAAACTGTGCTGTAGGCTACACCAGGACACTTGGGGGTTTGGAAGTACAAGCAGGCACTTCCACGGCACCGGATGGCAACTCCTTAAACCAAAAACATCTTTTCCCAGGATCACACTGCAGCTGGGAAAAGGTGCAGCAGTTATAAGGAACTACCAACAAATGTGACGGGGATGCTTGCTGGTGCTTTCAAGCACCCTTTTTTCCTTCAAATCCAACGTGTTGCACAGGCCCGGTGCTTAATTTCCCCTCCAAATAATGCCTTCAGATAGTGAGATGGTTTATCTCATGAAAAGTGTTGAAGCTGTGAACATTTCTATCATTTTTCTAAGCAACGGTCTGCCTTCTGTTCCCTTTTTCCCACCTCCCTTCTTTCTACCTTAGAGTCAGTCTTGACTCCTGGCAACTGCCTGGACAAGTCCCTGCAGTTTTCTTGGCAAGATTTTCAGAAGTGGTTGGCCCTGGCCTCCTCCTTCCTAGGGCTGAGAGAACGCGACTGCCCAAAAGTCACCCAGCTGTTTTGTGCTTTAGGCAGGATTAGAATTCACAGACTCCTGGTTTCTAGCCTGGTGCCTTAACCACTACACCTGGCTCTCTTTCTCTTATATAGGTCTTAATTTCTAACATCCAACACATTTCAGAAAAAAGAAACACAATTTATTTATTGATTTATCATATTCATATAGCCGCCCATCTCACACAAGGTGACTCTGGACGGCGTACAACCATTAAAAAATTACTAATTTTTAGTGATTAGTATGCCTGAGACCGAACAACAATGACAGCTCAAATAAATGTCACAACAAAATACAGTTTCCCTGTTAAAATAATTTCAATCCCTTTTGATCAAAGTCAGAGATAACGCTTCTAGCTCTTGCTGTGCAGCTTTGCTACAACAGCTGTTCTGCAGCTGGAGAGTCCTGTTCACACACTAACAAGATAAATCAAATGATAAATCTCCTGCACATTGAAAACGGGAGGCTAAATATTGTTTATCCGTTATATACATACAAGGATGATAATAAAACTTGGAAATGATGTGATCTTCACCACACAAGTGGAGAAAGGAAATGGGTGTGTTTTTTCCCCCTTTTCCTCCCCAGCTTCAGAGAAAACAACCATAAAATCTGGGATTAAGCTCCAAGGTAAGTAGAATCCCCAAAGGAATGCAGGGAATCTATAATGGACTCTCAGAAAATGAGTCTTATACATAGTTTAGACTCACATTTTGATAGTAATAAATAGGAATTCTTAGGGGGGGAAATGACAACTGTGACCTTTTCAAATGCTGCATGTTTAGCAACTGCTGCAGAACATCACCAGATGTTTAATATGTGCTCAACTGATTCCTGAGTAATTGTTCTAGAGGATCATCAAACATCTAGCCTCAGAACCTTAAAGATATTAAAATCCCTTGCTTGGGCTGTTTGTCTCAAATGGTCTTGCTTTCATCTAGTGTGGTTTATGATGGGGGGGCCTAATAAAAGTAGGGCAGGTTTTTTTTATAATAATCTCTTCATCTAGATGACCCTTCTTGAGATGCGGGTAGCAGCTTCCAGAATTCCCCAGCCACCATGGCTGGCACTGAAGCCACCGAGGTTGAGAAGAGCTGGTCCAGATGAATGCCTTGCTACACAGCTTCTATCAAGCTGGCCAGAAGTGGAGAGACAAAATGAGTTTGTTCAAAGCTAGGTAAAGGCAAAACACCGCCTACTAAAGACACAGCCATAGAACAACATGGTTGCCCTTAGTTATATGGGCAAATCAGCTTATCAAAGAAGCCTTTCTAGGAGTCCAGAAGAACCACCTGATATATCATGGTCTATCAGTGTTCTTTCCTGATGAAGAAGAGTTCCCTGTAGTATTTTTAGCGATTTATTCCAGGAGTTCACATCTTTTCCTCGGTTTTTACACCCAGCTTTCAACTGGTATCTCAAGGCAGACTCTAAAAAGTAGTTGATTTCTGTTACAATTAATTGAAAGCAAATAAATTTAATCATTCTCCAGACATAAGTAATTTTCCAATTCTGTTGTCTTCCACTGTGCACCATGGATTTATTTATCTAAAATATTTATATATTATCACTCATAGCCTCCTTTTCCAGGTGTTGTGTTATGTTGGAGCACCTTCAACACAACATTGAAAATAAAATAAAGCTAGAGGTAAAAATATAACAGGGGCCATAAATCAGAGAATAGTACCATTGTGAGATATCAAATGTCAAGGTGAATAAAAATGTTTTCAGCATGGATTTCTACAGCATGAAAGTTTGGAGTTCCTCCTCATCAGATTCTGCATCTTTTGCAAGTGTTGAGTTTAAGAGGAACTTTTCCTAAACTAACATCCTGAATTCCTAGCCAGTATATCTAAAGGCTCAGAATGCTATCCCAACAGTGCTGGTGGGCACAACGTTGGAGAAGACATCTTAAGACAATCCAAATCAAAATAAGAATTAAGAAACTGCTAAGAGAAGTTATCCAGGAATGTAGGTTGAGATATCAATGTGCAGATGACCTTTGTTTGATCTCCACAACATGTGATAGTCGATATCCTGAACTGATGCCTGAACAATGGACTAGATGAGGGCCATAAAACTAAAACTCACTCCTGAGAAGATGAAAGTGGCAAGGAACACCATTAATCAACTCAGGCAGTTGCATGAAAGATTTGGTCCCCAGATTGATAAGGATTCAACTAGTTGCAAGCTCCTTCGTCATCAGTTTGCCAGTTCACAGAAAGTTAATGAAGAAGACTCCAGTCTCGCCTTTGGACCACAATAGTTGTAGATGGAAATAGTTCAGCTGCTGGCATTCTTGTAACCCCATCCCTCCTCTTTTCTTTAAAAAAAATCTTGCTAGAGACTCTGTGAGAATCATGCTTGGAAAAGGTGTTATTTTTGGTGTCAGGCAGATGTCAAAGAGCCTGACATTGTATCAGCTGCAACTTTATTTGGTCAGAGATTTAGAGTTAATTATCCAAACTGTGATAACGTATTCTGTTAAACCGTTGCTAAACTGCCCACAGAGAAATTTGCTTTGGGGGGGGGGGGGACATTGGCACCATCTCAGTTAAATTATTACAATGCATGGTACCTGTGGCTACAACCCAGTTTCAGAAACATCAGTGAGTGCAGAAGACAAGTGCAAAGATACAAATTGGGACTGGGTGGCTGACATAATCATACAAGGCTGTCATCTACAACAGCTTTTAAGTGCATTTAAAGTGTTGGTGTGGATCTTCAAAACTCTGAATGGTTTGGGAGAACATCACTTCTTCTCAACGTCATATGGACCATTAGGTCATCTTTGGAGAGCTTCCTTGAGGTTTCCCCACAAGTTAAGTGGGAAAGAAGATGCCCTGATACCAATGTTGTTATATGTTCCACACCAGTCAAATACATTCTTCTAGTCTGGTTATGTAAATCTGAACAACCCAAACTGGATTAGAATGACAGCATTTATACCTGCACATTTCTTTCCCTGGATTGAATTTTATATAAGCTACTTTAGAGTGGGCATATTGTCATTTTATTCTTTTAATTTTCATCATCTTGATGAACATCAGGATGGGGCTAATCATAGCATACATAATGGGCCACCATGATAAAGAATTAAAACTCGAAGAGGAAACATCAGCAATGTGTGATCATTCAGAGTGTGGCAAATCCATACACGCCAATAAGAATTGGGACTTTTTCCACACTGGCTTTCATGCTTTCCCTTCAGCCATGCTGGAGGGCAGATTCCAAAAAATTCCAGGATCACAAAGGCAATGCCTGTGTGGATCAGGTATAACTGAATCCATAGAGCATGATTTTTAGGTTGCTCCTTTTATTCTGATTTAAGGCAATGGCTTACTCCAGTCAAAATGGCTTTAGTATTATTGTAGGACCACCCAGAGTCATGTCCATGAGACAAGCAGCTATAGAAATTGGAACAACAAACAAATACATACAAAAATTATGCCACCCGTTTTTTAACATCTTCCCAGTCATACTGAACAATTTTATATAAGCTACTTTAGAGTGGGCAGAAATCCAGAAATTACTTACTCAGTAGCACAATATTGCTACTTAGCAACATGGCTATGCCATGAGAATGTCATCATCGTGGGTCAGCACGACTATCTGCAAAGGTAATCTTGCTGGCCTAAGAAAATTACTGAATGTTTTATTATATATTAGGTTTTATTTATTATGTTGGATTTCTGGTCAATAACCACAATAACATTTTCACTTGAAGGATGTTGGCAAACTCCAGTTTCCATGAGTCATAATCACCATGGCCAACAGAGAGGATTAATGGGAGTCACGATCCATCAACATCTGGAAAGCTGCAGGTTGCTTACTTAAAGCACAGAGATACCGCCTTTGGATACATACTACGCACATAATTTGTAGACAAAAGGCGCTTTTCCTCTTCATTTCTTATGGCATTTTTATCAGCAACATTTCAGTGCATTTATTTCCTTTAAGAATCAATCATGTCCCCAAAAAAGTGCAGAAACCCTCATGTGGTTAATTGGATGCTGATTG